TTATTCCCATATTACCATCCATCCGTTCATCCAAAGAATTATAGAACATTTACTATAACTCAGGGATTGCTGCTAAAATTAAATGATAAATGAACTCAAGCTCTACCTTTTGAGAAGCTTAGAGTCTAAAGAAACAAACAGATGGGAAAACATGTATTTATAATACAATGCAGTCAGGCAAGTTTCCAGAGTGGGAGCAAACACGAGCTGAATTTTGCAAGGTGAAGAGGAGTAAAGGGAAGATATCACTGTTTTAATATGTTGGCGTAGAGAGGGTCTTTTATTTTATCTTTTTTTAAATTTATTTGAGAGAGAGAGCGCCTGAGCCAAATCAAGAGTTGGATGCTCAAGCAACTGAGCTGCCTGGGCGCCCCAAGAAAGTCTTTTAAAAGCATGTTACAGAAGCCAGGAGCCATAGAGGAAAAGGATTAATAAACTGGGTGACATAAAAAATTTTAACTTCCATATAATTAAATAAATGTACATACAATAAACAATGCTATAAGGCAAATGACAAAATGGGATGTGACAAATGGTAAATGTTTGATATTACAAGTATTAGTACACAAAGACCTTTTAATCATTTTAATGTTTTAATCATTCCTGTAACTGAATTTTCACAAAACCTATCATCCTGTTTCAGTGAAGGGGTTCTCTGCATCTCTGCACCTTTTATTTTTTAAGTTATTTGGAAGAAATGTCCAAGAGCAAGTGACTTATTTGCACACCCTTCAGTACTGAAATCAAGAATGGGCTGGCCAGTATCATTCTATAGGGAGAAACCTAAAGTTAAATGAGGTATTTCTAATTTAATGGAATCAAGGCTAAGTCTGAAAAAGGGAAAGCAGAGACATTTTATTACAATACAAATATAACAACACAGAGATCATTTAATTGAGATACTTATTAAACTGGTTATGTGCAGGCAGTGCTCTGAAGAAACGAAAAGTAATTATACATCTGGGAAAACATTCAGTCTTGACCCTTAGCACAACCATACACCAAAAATTTCAGATCAATTACTTAAGTGTGAAAGGTAAAACTATAAAAATCTCAGAAGAAAATAAAACATTTCCATGGACATAGGGTAGGCAAAATTTTCTTGAACAAGACACAAAAGCCCTAAAGATAAATTGGAGTACATTCAAATTAAGAATTTCCCCTCATCACAAGATACCATCAAGAGAATAAAAAGACGAGCAGTGAGTGGAGGAAGTTACCTGTAAAACATGTATGCAACAAAGGGTTCCTACCCAGGATGCTGTGAAGACTTCTACAAATAAGAGCCAGACAACCCAACAGATAAATGGGCAAAAAAATTTGAACAGACACTTTACAGATGGCGAGCAAACATGTGACAAGGCATTCAACTTTGTCAGTCAACATAAAAATGTAAATTAAAACCACAATGCTCCCCCGAGAGTACACTATCAGGATGGGAGGCACCTGGAACTCTCACGATGCTGTAGGTGAGAGTGTAAATAGGCACATTCACTTAAGTTATGGGCAGTAGGAACTAAACCCATGATCTAGCAATTCCATACCTAGGTCTATGCCCGTCAGAAATACATTATGTTCACCCAAAGACATGTGAACAATGCTCATAGTTGCACTACATTAGCCAAAACCTAGAAACAGTTCATCCCCAGGCGAATGGGCATACAAGCGATGAGAATAAACCACCTACTGTTTCACACACATGAATAAATCTCACAAATATATTGTTGAACGGAACAAGTCAGTCACAAAATAAAATACATTGAGTGATTCCATTTATGTAAAGTATAAAAGTATATACTTCTGTAAAGTATAAAAACAGGCAAAATGAGTCTATTGTGGTTATCTTTGGGGTTGGATAATAACCAATGGGGGCATGAAAGAGGTTTGTGTGGGGCTGGAATAGTCTGTCTCTTGGTTTTGGTGCTTGTTGCACAGGTAGATGGAATCATTCTGAAAATTTATCAAACTGTACAATTAAGAATGGTGCACTTTTCTGTATACACGTTTCAATAACTAGTTTTGTTTTTTTTTTTTTTAAACACTACAGCTAGGTAGCAGAGACAATTCTTGGAAAATATAAACTGGACCACTGAGACAGGCCTGACTACATTTTTTCTAAGCCCGGTGTTCCAGTTAGAGACCTGTGAGGAAGCCAGTTCCCTGCATGCTTCCCACGTACTGCTTCCCTTCACTTCCCAGCTTTCCGCATTCAGACAGATGCCCGCCTTCCACAGGCACTGCACATCAGTAAACTCACTGAGCACCTCTGTGTGCCAATTAATGTGCTGAGCACCAAGGACAGCGACAGATCAGCCATGGTTTGCTCTCAGACCTGACGAGTAGGAACCATCTGATGCTATTCCTCTTGCCTCGGCATCTAGCAGGATGTTTTATACTGAGGAGGCCCCCCGTAAACACTGACTAGTCATGTATACCTCCAAACACCTGGGGCATGAACACAGCTACAGAGAATGCACTTAGAAATGCCAAGAGCTCACAGGATCAGAGAGGCTGCCTCCAGCTTCACTGGGCACAGGGGCGGGGAGCTGCTGGGGGCAGCAGTGGGCAGACAGACTGAATGGCCGGAGCGTGGTCTGGAAGGAAGCTCCAGCTGGCACATGCAGTGCTAAGTGCAAGCCCTTCTCAGAGGCAGGAGACTGGACAAGGCGGGGAGGAATGGAAGCTGGAGAGCACGGAGCGCCTGACAGTCAGGGAATGGGGGCTGGGTGAAGGAGGAAAGCAAACTTGCTTTTTCGGTAGGTCAGGGCACAGCTCAGGTAGTAGTATTTTCCAAAAGCACCAAAGATGACTGCTGTTTTTCAAAGGTTAGGAATCATGCACTATACCAGGCTTCCTATTTCACTGTGGGCAGACAGATGAGGAAAAGGATGGGAAAAGGCACACGATTAAATATGCCTTTAGTCCCCAGTTAACATTTACCTTTAACTAATATGCCAAGTACTTTAGAATTCTCCAAAATTAAAAGTTATACACAGCTCATCATAAATCTAAGAAACAAAGCCATTTATATGAATTTCAATTCCAAACTCTCCCTTATGTTACTAAAATGAAAATGTGAGGAGCGCCTGGCTGGCTCAGTCAGTAGAGCGCGTGACTCTTGGTCTCGGGGTAGTAAGTCCAAGCCCCACATTGGGTGTAGAGTTTATTTAAAAAGATAAATAAAATCCTTTTAAAAATGTGAGCTGCTTCAAACTCTGGGCAAGTTAAGCATCTTGAGCTTCAATTTTCTCACTTGTAATGAGACGCTTAAAGCACATGGCCCTTAAGGAATTGCCTTTTGACTCTGATGGGGCAAATTTCCACATGTGGCAATTTTAGAAACAAGAATTTGTGATGAGCATGTGAATTCTCTTACCTCCCACTTCCTGTAGGAGGCATCAAAAATCTCTTACTAAAATTATTCTGTGGTCATTTTTTCTACTGACTCTGTCTAATTCATCGGACATTTAACATCCAGAGCAATAGATTCTGAATCACAAACTCCAGAGTTGTGTTCTGTGCTGTGGGTAACCGATGAGATCACTTGTATTTCTTTCTGACCAAAGTAGCAAAGTCACTACTATGTGTACCCAAATACATCACCCGGGGCTGCAATACCATAGTAAAATAACATTTGCTAATTTGTCTGGTCAGGAAACTTCAAAAAGCGTGGGAGCTTGGGGGTTTCAACAGCTCGTGATTTTGCAGAGGCAGCTTTGTATATAAACCCCAATTTTTTCCTGTAGGTGCTTTTGTAACAGTAATGCCAACCGCCTTCTTTTAGGCAAACCCCTGCCGAATTCCAGAGGTGCTGTCTGACCACAATCAAGCTGAGGCACTGACTTGAAGAATGATTAATCACAGATGAATTAGCTTTTTGTTTCTTTTCTGACATTTCCGAACCCTTTCTGATGTTTCAACTATCTGATGTCTGGCCATGTCATGCTACCAAAGCAGACTGCCTGAAATCACTGTTTACTTTGGCCTGCATACAAGTCTGGATAAGGATTTAGTCAAAACACCTCTTTCAGATCACAGAATGGCCTTACAGCAGCACTCTGAGAGATAACACAGAGAAGAAATTTTAAAAATTATACCGAACATCATTTCTATATACTCCAATTTTTACTTTCAAAGGAAATCAAACAGTTTTGAATTGTATGGAAAGGGGTCAAGATAGAGAATATGAACCAAGCTTTACATGTAAATATTAAACATTTTGGAAGCACAGGAAAATTGATTTAAAAAATACTTAGAAAACAAACCAAATAGATTTAAACCAACAGCTTGATTTTTAAAAGTATATATATAATACTGTGTGTATACATACATATAAACTATATAACATATAAACCATATAATGCATATATAAAATAAATAAATACAAGGCAACAGCTCAGTTTCCAAGAAATACTGGTGGTTAGGCCAAATGAGGGGAAAACCTGCTCAGGTGTCCACTGTAGGCCCTGTGCTCTAGGAAGTGACCCCTCTCACCACCAATCAGAGTTGCACGGGGTCCCAACCTCCTTGCCAGGGACTGGCTCAGGCACAGACAAGAGGCACAACTCTGACAAGTAAAACGAGTGAAGTGGTTTGGGAGGCTTCTTGGTAAGGTTTCCCTTAATTTAAAAAGAGATACAGACAACCCCACACACTTCGGGATATCTACTGTCTAACAAAACCAGAAAATAACAAATGTTGGTGAGAATGTGGAGAAATTAGAATCCGTGTGCAGAGCTACTATGGAAAACAGTAGGGTGGGTCTTCAAAAAATTAAACATAAAATTACCATAGCATCCATTTCTATTCATGTCAGCCAGCTCCTGAGCCCCCAAACTGGTACTGATTTATGCTAAAACTGTATCAAGTCCCATTAACATGGCCACAATTATTACAACAGTTAACGTGAACAATGATAACGTAACAAGCCCATTCCTTTCATTAATGACTATTTTCCAACTCTCATTAAATCTTTTCTAACTATCCTGTGCCTTACATCTAAGACTACAGGCACAAACAAAACACATCTTACTAAGGAATGTTTATGGAAATCAACCTTTACACATACACACACACCAGCAAAATCAAAAGAATAAAAATGTGTTTTAGGGAATATGAGGCACAACAATATAACTGCTGTAAACTAGTAAACCATCGAGGAGAATCTATGGCAACAGGTGCCATCTATGTAACTATGAGGATGGCCACATGGTGATTTCCATCTTCATCTTGCAGTGCTCATCATTACCATTAGCAAGACAAGCAAAATCAAAATTCATCATCATGTTAAGAAATGCCTTGTAGGCTCAAGTCAGGGTATTAAGTGAAATGCCTTACAAAGATGAATTCCCATAAGCCAACTGGGCACATCCCTAGGCATGACTGCATATGGAAAATAAGTGACTTTGCCAAAACTCTCTCACACTGAGCCATCAGAAACTTCTCAGATCAGTTCAGCTCACTTAAGGGTCAATTCTGAGTCTGCACAGCTCCACAGAGAATGATTTCTATCTACATGGACATCTACATCTCTATCTAGTCATCTCCATCCTATACCATGTGTTTTAGTCATCTGTTGCTGAGTAACAAACCACTCCAAATCTTAGTGGCTGAAAACCACAATAATTTATTATTCCTCCTGATTCTGTGAGTTGGCTACGGCTCAGTTAGGGGGTTCTTCTGACGGTATCTCTTAGGCTCACTCAGGCAGCCGTATTCATTCAGCAAGCTTGGCTAGAGCTGAAACATCCAAGATGGTCTCGGGCCTCCCAGGTGGTGTCTCTCGCCAGCAGGAGTTGGCCCTTTTACATGATGATGGCTGGCTCCGAAGACAGAGGAAGGGAAAGCTGCCAGTCCTCTTAAGGCCTGGGCCTGAAGCCCCAGAGAGTGCTTTTCCATGGTATCCTGTTAGTGCAAGTCAGAAGGCCAGTCCAATCAGGGCAAGGGAAACAGAATCTACTTCTGATGGATGGAGCAGTATGCACATACAGGGTGAAAGGAACTGATGATGGACACACACCCTGGAACCATCTACCATGCCATGGTCCTCCCTACACATAAAGATAAACTCGTCATTTCAGCAGGCCCTCATTAAAACTCATTACTCAATAAAAAGAGAGCAGGTAAAACCAGCTCTTTTGTGTATCTCAGACCTGCTGTTAAATACTTTCATTTGCCCTACTTCATATAATAAGCGTATTATATGGTGAAGGCTGTAACTTAACATGTCTAAATCCACACAAGAAAATCCAAATGAAACATTTTTCTAGTTTCAGGTACAGTTACGTATCACTGGGTGTCACTGGGCGATTATTATCTACATGCCCCCTCAGCTGTGACCTCCATTAGGGCAGAGCCCACATATGCACTGTTTCCAGCTGTATTCTCAGCGTCTAGAGTGTACCAGGTACCTAAGACACTGCTGGTTCTCAATGACTAATATTCCTGTTTTAAGATATATTCCTTTTTTAATACCAGATATAAATACACAGATTTTTCCACATACATTTTACAATGTGGCAAAAATACGCCATTACTAATGCTTTAAACACTTAGTTATGCTCCAAGAAAGAAGACACACTTTTAACTATTACTGTAGTTATATGCTAAATTTACCCTCACTGAATCTTGAAAATGAGAGATTTTACAATAGTGTACAATTCATTTTCTGTGAGTTACCTTTTTTGCTGGTGTCTAGTTCTGGACCTTCAAATTGCAATGAGAAATAATTCATGCTTGAACCAACATCTACCTTACAATTCTTTTTTTTTTTTTTTTAAGATTTTATTTATTTACTTGACAGAGAGAGAGACAGCGAGAGAGGGAACACAAGCAGGGGGAGTGGGAGAGGAAGAAGCAGGCTTCCCACTGAGCAGGGAGCATGATGTGGGGCTCGATCCCAGGACCCTGGGATCATGACCTGAGCCGAAGGCAGACGCCCAACGACTGAGCCACCCAGGTGCCCCCATCTACCTTACAATTCTGAACAGCACCTTTCTGATTGAGAATTCCCACTTTTACAAGCAGTTGTGCTGTTCCTTCATAACTGAGGGTTCTCATTTGCTGAAAATGTAATAAAACATCCTTAGATGAAATGAAAACATCTACAAATGGAACAAAATAGTCACTTTATTCTGCCCACAAACATCTGAGCTCAGACTTTTTCTGCCCTAAATGGACAAGGCCAAAACCAACAGATACCCTACAGCGCAACACAAGAACTATTCTGGAGAGGTTCACCTTTTTGCAGCACCAACCCCAACAGAGTTCAGTACCACTTTCCTCCAAACAAAAGGCAAAAGTGTCCACAATTCTGCAAATTTTCATAAAGTGAGGCAGTATTGGTATACACTAGCATAAGCCTCTGCTTTTCCCCAGCATCTGAACTAAAAAGTATGGCTAATAGCACAAGCAGGCCACTTAGAAATTTGGGTGCCATTTATCAGTATATAAACACAGAATTTTGACAGGTCTCAAAAAAAGCACAGGTAATGATTTTGTGCATGCTACCCAACTGGGTGGGTTCTATCCTACTAGTCAGTGCAAGAAGATTCTTGCACCTATCTCAAATCGAGATAAAAACACAATATATCTCAGAGTACCTGGCTGGCTGTTGGTAGAGCATACAACTCTGGATCTCAGGGTCGTGAGTTCAAGCCCCACATTGGGTACAGAGCTTACTAAAAAAAAGGAAAAGAAAAGAAAAAAAAAAAAAACCCCAAAACAAAACACCCCACAATATATCTCATTTCTGTATCATTCCCATTTTACAGTTGCAAAACCAAGACCAGCTGTAATTGAGCAACTTCTCCAAACTGTTACACACTCCTGTACCACTACCTCCCTTTGATATCAGAGTATTTATTAGTACTCCATGATATCCAGTCATATTCCCTTAGAACCACCTATGTGTCTTACTAAGTTCTAATCTATTTGCAAAGCAGAAGCTGTCCTAGTCACACCTAGTAAACACCTGTTAAACAAAAGGGAGTTTCTTGACCCTCGGCACTAGTATTTCTTCTCATTAATTCAACGAATGTCTATTAAAAATTAAACATCTATTGTGTGGCAGGCACACTTTTAGGTACTTGGCATACATGATGAAGATAAACATCAAAAGTCTCACAAACGTATACACAGGAGACAGACTTGAATTTTGGGAAGAAACACAGAATGCTAAGGGAGCTGGAGATGGGTGGATAGGTGAGTGGTCAAACCCAGTCTTAGTGTCCAGTATAGATCACTGGAGCAAGTGACCGCTAGGCTGAGAGATGACGGAGGAGGCGTTTGCAAGCATGGAGGATGGGTAGAGGGAGACTGAAAGATGAGAGATCAGTGAGGGTAAATGCCCTCGGGTGGGAAAACCCAGCTGAAAGGCTCCGGTCGGTCAGCCTTCAATGTTCAGGACCCAGATAACAAAATGTAGATATGAGCTTCTTCAATAGGAGTGACTCCGAATTTAATAAACAGAAATTAGCTAACTTTAAAATGAGAAATAATCATCTTTCCAGTTCATTATTACGCTCTCAGATGTGAAAAATTAATCTGGTGCAGTGGTTCTCAAGCTTGACTTCACATTAGAATCTCCTGAGCGTTAAAAAAAAAAAAAAAAAAATGACATCCATGGTTTGACCCCCAGCCAATGAATCAAAAATCTTGGAAGGCAGGGGCCCACGTACTGGTATTTTTAAAAAAGTTCCTCAGGTCATCCTGAAATACAGCCGGAATGGCTAACAGCAGCAACTCAAAAGGAGACGAGCACTAGCTGTTCTCCAGTCTCATCCTGAAATGACCCCTCGTCTTCCCATTGGCCGACTTCCTGTCAACCAAATCTCAGTCTAAACATTATGCCTCTGAAAGGCTCCCCCTGACCCCACTCGAAAAGGAGCCACACCTAGTAAGTATTTACCACATCACACAGTGCTCATTCCTATCTGTTTGTCTTCTTCATTAACTTCTTGTAGGTCCTTCAGCCTAGGGACCTCGCCTGTGTTGTTCACTGCAGCACTTCCAGCGGGAGCTCAGTAAGTGTTACATGAATGAAGGGGACAAGGAGAGGTGGGCACTGGGGTACCTCTCATGCAAACAGAATTAGAAAATAATATCCTGAAGCTATAATTCTGACAAATTTCGGCTGGGTATGATTAAGCCAGACAGATTGAACAGTATGGAGAGCATTTTTTAATTCTTAACTAAAAACTAGATGTGAGCCAGACTTCTATTTCCAAGCAGAGCTCGACTTAGGAAGGAGACTGAATAACATACAGCATTTAGTCTGGACTGGAGTCAACAAAGGTGCATAAAAAGTCTTCATACAGGGCGCCTGGGTGGCTCAGTCGTTAGGCGTCTGCCTTCGGCTCAGGTCATGGTCCCAGGGTCCTGGGATTGAGCCCCGCATCGCCCCCCCGCCCCCGTTCTGCGGGAAGCCTGTTCTCTCTTTCCCACTCCCCCTGCTTGTGTTCCCTCTCTCGCTATGTCTCTCGCTGTCAAAAAATAAATAAAAAATCTTAAAAAAAAAAAAAAAGTCTTCATACAGAGGAAGGGGTGATGAAAATATGGTCAACATTTCCATGAACAACAACAACAACAAAAAAGAAACAGGTTAAAATACGGAGCAATTAAGATTTTAGCTTAGGTATAAGGAAAAACTCACTGAGGGAAAAATCCTGTGACACTAGAGTGGCCATTACAGATGGGAAGTAAAAGTGAAATTTCTCCAAGTCCCTAAGATTGGCATAAAAATACTTCTGTTTAGAAGGGGTCATGCACAAGTACACAAAGGCAGATGAATATATAGGATGGCTAGACTTTTCTTTTGAGTGTTATTATTGTACTACAATATCCAGAGTATTTGAGTTTCCTACCCTGAATTTACTTAGATCTGGTACCACAAAAATGAGCGAAGGAGAGAACACGAGTAAAAACAGTACCAAGTAAGTATTTTTGGGAAAAGAGAAATATATTCATGCTTTTCTTTCCACAGAGAATATGTTTAGACCTATCAACTAAGTTAATAATTCAGGCATAAAGGAAATATCTGAACAATTAAATTCACAAGTTACCTACAATGTACACTTAAATACAGGAATTAAATGCCAGCAGGAAGCCCTGCCAGAAGACTTGGGCTATGTCAGCATAAAACCAGCAAGGTATTGGGTATCACCCTTCTTTCAAAGCCAGTTTTGCTTCTAGGATCTACAGTTTCTACCAGTGGAAGCATCCCTACCCCAGACATTCAGCACTTAACCTCAACACTCTGGAGCCACTTTTGTTCGTTCCCACATTTAGTTAATCACCATGTTTTGTGGATTATTCATTTGTATAGAGGAAAAAAAAAAGAGGGAGGGGAAATTTACGGATTAAAAAGATTTACAAGACACATCAACCAAATGTACGGACCTCATGTGGGTTCTAAGTCAAACAAACTGTAAAAAATATTATGAGACAATCAGAAAATACAAGCACTGACTAGAGATACAGGAGGATATTTAGAAATACTGTTAATGCTTCTGAGATGTGATGCTGAGACTGTGATTTTGTTTTCAAAATGCTCTTATTTTTTACAAATACACATTAAAAAATGTGCCGATGAAATGATATTCTGGATTTGTTCCAAAACATTTCAAAAGATGATGGAGGTAGGAATATGGATGAAAGAACAGATGAAATACGAGGTACTGCGAATTGCTGAAGCTGGGTAATGGGTACAAGGAGGTTCAATTACACTTTTCAATTTGGTTTATGCTTTTAAAATAACCATAACTTTAAAAAAAATGGTAACTTATACATATGAATATGTTTTTTGATTTCCACATGCTATGTTCTTGGCTCTGAAGCCTCAATGACTCCCAGCTGCTTAAAGACCTCAGAATAGCTTTCAAGTCCTTCAGAGTCCTTTGGTTACCCTTTTTTATATGACTATGTCATGGGCAAGGTCACCTGCCAATTCTTACTTGTCTGCTCCTTCTCTCTGACCCATGCTTCCCCATCTGCCTACTCGATTATCAGGCCACTTAACCAAACCATTCTCCTAATCTGTTTTCAGGTAAAATACTCCCAATCCTCACCAAGATTACAAGTTTTAAGAGGAAGATTCATGTTTACATCTTTTTGCCTCTTCAGAGCTTAAAGCAGTGCTCTAAGTAGAGCGAAGGAGTTCGGTTCCTGTTTTTATGGTGGGCGGGATATAGGGAAACTGCTCCTTCATACTGCTCTACACTACTTACCAGAGTTTTTACATACAGTAGGCTGCTAATCCTTAGAAAACATCAAAGAGTTTAGTTAAAGAGAGTCATAAAAGATAAAACTTTTTTTTAAAGGGGAATTCTGACATACAGTTAAATCTCACAATAATACGATGAATTATAAAGTCAGAGCAATAAAGGCTGTGGTTCTCACTACAGAAAGCTTCATTTCTGAGGCAGCAAAGTGATTTCCTCAATTAACTCACTCGTCAGCCCTTCAAAGTCCAAGTCCTATATGCCCTGAGACAAAAATCATATTAAAGATTAATTTTTCTATGATGAAAATCTTACAAACATTTGCATTATTATTTTTATTATTGAAAATACCTCACTGCTTACATCGAGCTCCAGTTTTTCTGGACTGTGACTGGGTCCAAAGGAAAAAACAAAGCTAAAATGGAAGGGAAGGAGAAAAAAATGGAGGGTGGGGGAAGGGGTAGGATGCACCCAGACAAGGTAGATTCCTAGTGGGTGTTCTGTGCTACCCCAAGTAAGCAGGCCCTACTGAATGTTCTAGAATAGCTGGGATTTCTATATATTTGGTTAATTTCTACAGATCCATTCTGTACTAAGCAAATATTAAGTGCCTATGTGTCCAGCATTGTTCTAGGCAATGAACAAGCCAGATTCCATGAGAAGTTTAAAACACATTTAAAAATAATTCATTACATACATTGTAAATATACAAGCAAGTGAAACTAATATGATGAGAAACCATGAAAGCACTAATGTTCATGAACTGCATCTAGAGCAGACACACATGAAAATCAGCCTTACCTTATATTTCATCTTGGGACATGAATGAATGTAGAAACCCATATAATAATAGCTGAGTTGAGATGTTTTCTGATGAAGTTGCCTAGTAAAACCAATTTCTCTGCCAAAAGAAGAATAAAGATGAAGGTACAGTTAAATCTCATTCCAATACTCAAAGTACATGTAATTTGATGTCAAATATCTAATAACATCTGAAAATATAATGTTAAGCTATTAAGAAACTCCAAGTGTTGAAAGCAAAACAATTTTAAAAAATACTTTAAGGGGTGCCTGGGTGGCTCAGTCGTTAAGCGTCTGCCTTCAGCTCAGGTCGTGATCCCAGGGTCCTGGGATCGAGCCCCACATCGGGCTCCCTGCTCCGCAAGAAGCCTGCTTCTCCCTCTCTCTCTCCCCCTGCTCATATTCCCTCTCTCGCTGTCTCTCTCTCTCTGTCAAATAAATAAAAATCTTAAAAAACAATACTTTAAGATAGCTTTTACTAAAAAGACATAAACAACTCTAAATTATTTTGAGCAAATGCATCTAAGTTCACATTTTACACTTTATTGAGCATATTAGTTGATCTAAAATTCAAACAGCATAAAAATAAAGAGATCTATTTAAAACATTACTCATTATCCCCTGGAGTTCTCAAAAGACTGGGTTTATCAAGTGAAAAACAGTGCAGCAAGTTTTATAAAACTCAAAAACCAACACATTTCAGAAAGAATGACTATTATTATGACCATTTACATGCAAACACTTGCAACTATATATGATGTAAAACTCCTGCCTACATCTAGAAGCTACTCTAATATTTATTCTCCCTAAAACTAAAGAGTGGAAGAAAACTCCGCTATCTCCCCACTTCTCCTCTATTTGTTGGCATAGGCGAGGTTTAACTGAACAAAGACACTGTCAGCAATGCCCAGGCTTGAAGTGGTTTTAATTTGCATCCGGATAAATCCGGGCACAGAACTTCATCCTACTTGCCCAAATGAATGATTGCTTGTATTTGAGAGTTTCAAGGAAACTTTAGTACATTTCTAAAGTAGGAGAACAGTTGTTTGTTTCGTTTTTATGTTTGTTTCTTGAAGGCCTGCTTTCTTTTTCTTTCTTTCCCTCTTTCTTTCCAATGAATGCTTGATTTCAAGGAGAAATTTTTTAAGTGAATAGTCTGTGCATTTTGCAAGTTCAAATTTAAGTCATGGAAGGGCTGTGATCCTACAGATTCATCTGTAAAATAACAGTATTTCTAAATCCAAGCAGACTGAACGTTATTAGTCTGTAACAGAATAAATCCCACTATTCCTAGAACTAATCCACTTTCAAGGTTCAAAGTGAGGAAGAAAGCACTGGACACCAACGCGGGACCACCCACCTCTGACGACGGCACTCCTTCCCTCGGTCCTGCATTGCCCCTCTGCTCCCCCAGTTATGCAGGCCCAAGCCTGGAGCCATCCTTAACTGTTCTCCTCTCACTCCCATGTCCAATCCATCAACAGGTCCAGCTGGCCCCATCTCCAAAATATACCCTGAAGCTGACCACTTCTCACTACCTCCACCTCAGCTATTCTGGTCCAAGCCAGCATAACGGCGCCCCTGGATGACTGCAACAGCTTCCTGACTGGCTTTCCAGGTTCCCCTCTTGCCCCTCCTCACCAGTGCCTCCTGCATCTCTGTAGGAGATAAATCCCACAGAGCGGCCCAAGTGGTTTTTTTACAATACTAATCAGATCAGGTAACCTCCCCAAACCCTTCGCCTTCAAACTGGGTTGATATCACACTTAGACAAAATCGAACCTCCCTACTATGACCTATCAAGCGCAGCTCCATCGGCCCCTCCTCACCAGTGCCTCCTGCATCTCTGCCCTCCCTGCCTAACTCCTGTCTACATCCTACCCCATATCCTAGCCCGCAGGACCTATCTTCTCCATTCTGACCACCTCGGTTGTTGTACCACCCACATTTCTACCCTTAGACTTTTATTTAAACAGTTGGGTCCTTTATTTTTTCTTGGCTCCTCAAATGTCACCTGTCCAGAGAGGTCTTTCCTGACTGCCCTATACAAAAAGGACCTCATACCTATCACTGTGATTTTATTTTTGTCACAGCATAATGGAGTATTTAAAATTATGTTAGTATTCTAATTTACTGTCTTCTTTGACAAAGCTGGAAACCCTTATTCATTTCTATGAATTGTGTCTGAGACACATAGATTCTTCTCAAATAAACATCTGTTAAACAAATTAATTCATTTCTAAAATTCATCTTGCTAACAAAACATAAATAAATGTCACGCTCATGATCCCCAATTCAAACAATTTTTTAAACCTACAGACTAGATTATGTAAAAATCTATACTGATTATAGATTTAAATATAAAAACTATATTCATTTACAATTGCTTAAGAAATTAAAGAAATGGAGGGAAACTAGCTAAACAGATTTCACTGAAATACACTATAATCAATAATAGAACCAGCAATTTATAGCGTGTTCTCCCCAATTTTGCTTGGAAATATCAAATTTCCTGGCTGCCTTTCCTCTTCTAGAAAACTCGGCAACTCATATTCTCAAGAACACTAAAAGGAAATGACAAGACTGTAATGCAGAGGCAATCTCCCTGCTTTCAACTGGCAACAACTTTCATGTTCCCAGGCTCCTCTGCTTCTTCCTCAAAGCTCTCCAGCTCTAGAATTTCAAGAGATATACCAAAGCAATAAATAGAACACTTACAATTTTGCTGGGAACTGATTATTTACTACCTCAAATGCAGCAGGATTTCAATATCCCTTAGTTTACTGAGATATGAAATGTCATATATAGGTTGGAATTCACTATGTGGGAATAAATATTCTTGATATTTATTTAAGAAGTCTAAACAAATCCATAGCTACATACTGTAAAGTGATAGATACAAAAACAAAACAAGAAGGAAAATGACAATAATTTCAAAGTGTTAGCTGATTTTGGTCCAAAGAAAAAGTAGTTTTCTGAAATAAATACACGCTTCTAAAGTTACAAAACGTAAATGCTTTAAATTATCAGTTCCAATATCATTGACGTCATTATGTCTCATGAATATTCTTAGTTTATGCACAAATGCAATTAAATACATAAGAAAAATAAAAGATTATTACAGAGATCAGTTGTAAACACTGTATAATTGTGAATCTGCTATAACTTGGCATTAGGAGACATTAGGTTGAAAATACCAAGATGGAGAATTTTTCTTTATATTACAGACCACTGAAACACACAGAATCAATTATGGACCAGATTTTTTTACAAAAATCAAATGGAGATTAAAGAAAAATGCCAACTCTTCCACTTTTATAATTCAGAAAAAAACACATACACAACAAATAAAATAAATAACCTCAAAGTGTATCTTCCCAAGATGTGAGAATGTGACCACTGGACACAGAGATTGGGAAAAGAGAAAACAATGACACCATGAGAACGAGAGAGTCTCAAGGTCCCAGACAAGCAACAGAAAAATAATTTTCAATTCTCCTTCCCTTCTCTACCACATATAATACGCAGACAAGAAGGAATAAAAATAGAACAAGTATTTTCATGGAATAAGGCCCTAAACTTTCTACCATCAGGATAATGCAAAATATCTGTGTTGTGCTGCATATATTTGCAGCCATGGACATAAAAGGGAAATAATCTTTTGATGAGAGCCACAGAATTTAGTGGACAGTTAGGGACTTCCCAGTCCTGTTCCATATACTTTCTCACATTACTTTATTTACATTAGATTCATTTAAACTTTAATTATGAAAAAACATATACAACAATGACAAAAATATGTAAATACTATAATATTTAAGGAACATTAAGTTGTTCTTGATAGAGTAGCTTAAATAAAGACATAAACAAAAAAAGCACCCCACAAATACAATGACTTGTCATATATTAGACGAGATGGATAACTTAAAAAGCTAGGGAATTACCATCAGACATCGGCCTCAGTTCTAAAAGTGGTATTCTAAATACCAATATATAACAGACTACTATAGCAACAAAATTATGAACTATCAAGTAGGATTTCTGCTGTTATATGATGAACTCTAATCAAATGAGGAATTATCTGAAGTTCCATACGACCTATGAGAGCTGTCAAAAGTAATCTTACCGTAATGCAGAGTAGACACCCAAAGACAGGAATGAATAATCAGGATCATAGTACAAATATACAGACGAGACACAGTATGGAAGGATGTCAATCACCCCCACAGCAATGATTCTTCCATCAAGCCAATACTGCTGGTGAAAGGAGCCATAACCACAATCTGGTCCATGAGGGGGATTCTCAGCCTATGAGAAAGCAGACATACATATGAACAGTTTGTTGTCTCTACCTTTATATTAAAAATCTTAATAATTATCCTATTATACTTTTACTTTCCGCTGTAACTCCTAAAATTTCCCATGTTGCCATCATCCTCTGCAGTCACACCCTGTGTGACTTTTTACTTGTATAAACACTGACCAAACAAAAGAATGAGAAAAAGAAATAAACTTGGGATTTTTTTTAACTTATTTAAAAATTTAACAGTAGGAAATATAAATTTCACAGGGTAAATAAATATTAAACTATATTTTCTGTTCCACATAAAATTTAGGAAAAGAAATGGTGTATGAGAGAAGATGGAGAACAGAAAGGAGAGGCGGTGGGTGAGAACAGAACTGCCCCCATACTGCCAGCCGGGCCTGATCTGTCACGACACTGCACTGAAAAGGCATATGATTCCATTACTTTTTCTAGGTAAGAGTTCTTGTGTAAAAGGGCTATAACACTTCCTCTTTCTGGCCAAAAGAAAATAAAGTTATTTCCTTACCATTATCCTAATGTAACTATAATCCACAAAAGAAACGAAGAGATTTCAGAGTATTACCATTTATGTGTAAATAGTTGAGTGACATTTTTCATTTTAAAATTCAGTATGACTTCATTTTTTTTAAAGATTTATTTATTTATTTTTAGAGAGAGAGAAAGAGCACACGGGGGGAGCAGGGGAGGAGAGCTGAGGGAGAGGGAGAGAATCTCAAACAGACTGCCTGTTGACTGTGGAGCCTGACAGGGGGCTCAATCTCACAACCCTGAGACACCGTGACCTGAGCCAAAACCATGAGTAGGACATTCAACCCAACTGAGCCACCCAGGTGCCCCTAAAATTCCATGATTTTAAATATAACTGTTGCTAAATGAAAATCATAAAACAAAAATTATGACACATCATAAAAAATGCTTTGCTCTAGGGATGTTAGAGATTGACAATTTAAGTGAACAAATACAATAGCACATCTATATCATTTTCATACAGCTAAAATCACAGATAATATGTATGGATACAAGTAGATGAGAATGAAGAAAAATGAAATAAGTTGGTCTACCAATATTAAAACCAGGAAAAAAAAACATTACAGGATAGGAAATCTACAGATCAGTATCTCTCCTAACACAGATGCAAAAATCCTCACCAAATATCAATAAATCAAATCCAACAATGTATTATATAATGTATGTGACAAAGTGGGATTTATTCCAGGTACAGGAGGCTGGCTCAACATTAGAAACGTAATTTTTTTAAAAAAGCAATTAATGTAATCCATCATGAGAACAGGCTAAAGGAAAAATCCTATGATATATCAACTGACACAGAAAACACCTCTGACAAAACCCAACATCCTTTCATGACTAAAAACTCAACAAACGAGGAAGGGAAAGGAACTTCATCAACTTAATAAAGAACATATACAAAAAATTTACAGCTGACATCATACTTAATGGTAAGAAAATGGATGCTTTCCCCAATAAAATCAGGAACAAGGCTATGATACCCTCTCTCATCACTCCCATTCAACATCATAATGAAAATCCTAGCTAGTGTAATAAAATAAGAAAAGGAAATAAAAGGTATAAAGATTGGGAAGGAAAAAGAAAAACTATCCTTATTCACAAATGACATGATTTACCATGTAGAAAATCCAAAGAATCAACAACAAAAAATGGAAGTAATAAGCAATTATAGCAAGGTCACAGGATACTGAGTTAACAATCTAAAGTCATTTGCTTTACTATATACCAGCTATAACTGGAATTTGAAATTAACAACCCAATACCATTTGTAAAACCAAAAAAATTACATGGCTAAGTATAAATCTAACAAAATATGTACAGAATATATATGCAGAAAATTCTGACAGGGGAATCAAAGAAGAGGTAACTAAATGGAAAAAGTATTACATGTTCATAGATTGGAAGACTCAATATTGATAAAATGTCCATTCTTCCCAAGCTGGTTCACAGATTTAATGCAATCCCAATCTAAATCTCAGCCAACTATTTTGCGGATATCAACAAATTTATCTAACGTTTATATAAAAAGGTAGAAGACCTAGAATAGCCAACATAATACTGAAGAACCAAGTTGAAGGACTGACACTACCTGATATCAAGACTTAGGATAAAGCTGGGGTGCCAGAGTGGCATAGTCGGTTAACCGTCTGACTCTTGGTTTCTGCTCAAGTCATGATCTCGGGGCTATGAGAGCCCCGTCTGTGTTGGGTTCTGTGCTCAGTGCAGAGTCTGCTTGAGATTCTCTCTCCCTGCCCCTCCCACTTGTGCACATGCTCTCTCTCTCTCTCATATAAATAAATAAATCTTAAAAAAAAATACTTACAATAAAGCAATGAAGCTACAATAATCAAGATAGGGTGATACGGGTGAAAGAACAGACAAGTAGAACAGTGTAACAGAACAGACAGCCCAGAAATAGACCCGCATAAATATGGCTGACTGAAAGGAGCAGAGACAGTTCAATAGAGAAAGGACAGTCTTTACAACAAATGATGCTGTAACAACTGAACACCCAAATGCAAAAAAATCTAAATCTAGACACAGACCTTACATCTTTCAAAAAAATTAGCTCAAAATGCACCATAAGCCTAAATGTAAAATGCAAAACTATAAAACTTCTAGATGATAACATAGGAGAAAATCTAGGTGACCCTGGGTTTTGTGATGAGTTTTTAGATACAATGCCAGAAGCATAATCCATGAAAGAAATAACTGACAAGTTGGACTTCATTAAAATTAAAAACTGCTTTGGGAAACACACAGAAGAATAAAAAGTGAAGCCACTGAGTGGAGAAAATTGCAACACATGTATTGGATAAAGGACTGGTATTCAAGAACAGAAAGACTCTTAAAAATTCAACAGTAAAAAAACAAACAGCCCAATTAAAAACTGGGCAAAGTATGTGAGCAAACACCTCACCAAAAAAGAGGTACAGGTGGCAAATAAGCATATGAAAAGATGCTCAACGTCATTTGTTAGGGAATGGAAAAGAAACAACAATGAGATAGTACTACCCAACTATTAGAATGGCTGAAATCCAAAAACCTGAATATTAAATTCTGGCCAGGATGAGGAACAAAAGGAACTCTCATTCATTGATAATGGAATGTAAAATGGTATGGACACTTTGTGGAGGACGGTTTGAGAGTTTCTGACTAAGCGAAACATAGTGTTACCATATAAAACAGTAATTACATTCATAGGTATTTATCCAGTTTGTCTGAAAACTCAGATCACACAAAAACCCAAAGGCCTGCATGCAAATGTTCGTAACAATTTTATTCATAATTACCCCAAACTGGAAGCAACAAGGATATCCTTCAATAGGTGATAAATAAATCATGATACATGGAATACTATTCATCAATCAAAAGAAATAAATCATCAAGTCACAAACACACAAAATGAAGAAACCTTAAATGCATATTGCTAAGTGAAAGAAGCCAGTCTGAAAATGCTACCTACATACATTCCAAATACATCCTGTAAAAGGCAAAACTATAAAGACAGTAAAAAGATAAGCGGCGGCCATGAGTGTGGGGGATCTGGGGGTGGGATGAGTAGACGTAGCACAGGGGACTTTCCGGGTGAAGCTATTCTCTCCAATTCTGTACTGGTGGATATGTGACATTATGCACTTATCAAAACTCGGAACTTTATGACACAAAGAGTGAGCGTTAATGGATGCAAACTAAAAGAAAATCATTTAGGAGATTAAGGGATTCCAGGAAGGGACAGAAATATGACAAGAGAATCTAACTGTATTACAAATATAAGAAGTAACCTGCCTGAAAGCAGTTGGGAGGGGGAAGGTGCTGACCTCAGTACCTCTGGGGTCCCTAAGAATGAAGGCAAAAGTAAATCTGCCATAAGCATTGTATTCTACCTGATACGTTGTTTTACATGAGACTACAGGTTAACAATTCTGACACTAATACACATATCTACTGTAAATGGATGGAGGCTTCTCACTGTTGGAGTGAGAATTTACAGATAAGCAAGATAAAATCCACAGGGTAATAGATTAGAATTGGAGACATGAGTCTCCACTGTATTAAGCTAAACTGTTTAGCTTAATAGAGACAAGATGGTTACATACAGAAATATTTATAGGTCTGTATACAACAAATATATGTTCATACAATAAGAGTTAGTACACACATATTTCTTTACTCTGTCAGATGAGAAGGCCTAAAGAAATGACACCCTAGTAGCAACAAGCACACCTAGCACCTAGATCTTGGTTTCTCCATTCTGTCGTGTAAGAAACAAGCCTACTGGGGAAAAATGCCTGATTCCAGGACTAAGACAGGAAATATACAAGATAAGCCTGGTTCATCTTTTTTAAGATTTATTTATTTCAGAGACAAAGTGAGCAAGCAAGTGGGAGGAGGGGCAGAGGGAGAGACAGAATCCCAAACGGACTCCACCCTGAGCGCAGAGCCTGATGCAGGGCCCAATCCCCGGACCCCAAGATGTGATCCAAGCCAAAGCCAAGAGCTGGATGCTCAATCAGCTGAGCCACCCAGGCTCCCCAGCCTAGTTCATCTTGTAGTGTCAAAACGTAAGAAAGCACTTGAAAAACAAAAAGAAACACCCACTGATGGGGTTCTATCAAAGGGGCACAGGGGACGACTAAAAGAGTTCCCAATGGCCAAAGCTGGAACAATTTGAGCAACAAAATAAAGGAGTATCAGATTACGACCCAAACTACAAAATAAATATCCATGAGTGCACACTACCGTATATGATTGAAAAAATTAATAAATGAGGAAGAAAGACAAATTTCCCATGCAGAAGAAGTCCAAAAAGTTTATGTAAATACTCTGCCCTAAGGGTAAGAGAGCATAACTCCCTCCTGAAGTGTGGGCTACACACAGGAATTCCCTTCCAAAGAGTACAGGTATGGGAGAGGGGTTAAGAGAGTAACTGCACAGGTGATCAAGATCAACA